CTCTCTCTCTCTCTCTCTCTCTCTCTCTCTCTCTCTCTCTCTCTCTCTCCGTCAAGCTCGATTTATTACTCACTCGTACCACCATCGAGTCCCGCTGTTGCTACGACTAGACTAGTTATTCGTAATTACTCGCGTGATGGGGAAGCTCGTTTCTCAAAGCGGATGGATAGACTGACGGATGGGGAAGTTATATCGTTGCCGGGATCTATCTCTTTCCCACGGGATACAACGTTACGTGCTGACATTACGAATTTCTTTATGGATAAGTGGCATTTCCATTCGCACTGAAAAGCAAGATGGGACTACATCAAGTAAGAAATCAACAAACTGCACTTCTCCAAAATGTATATGAATATGGGAACTAAATTTTTTTTTTTTCTTTAAATTTATAATATTGAATAATAAAAGCGATACAAAATGACGTAATAATAATATCCTTTGCTAGGGTACGCTCGCTATTAAACTAGAGAGAAGATAATAATATACAAAAGGTGGCTTCAAAAAGAGGCACAAAAAACTGCAAACTCGTAAAAAATAGAGAAGTAAAAAATTTCTTGCGCGAAATATGATAAGATGATAATTGAAGTACAAAAAAATGTATGAAACTCTACAAAATATGTGTTTATACAAAAAGTATATACGAATTATGGCGTTAGATCTTAAAATAAATACAATTCTTTTTTCAGTTATTTTCCTCGAATTATCCGAATTCTATTTCAAAATTAGAATTACCGCTTTAAAGATAGATGGCTACGTTATGTAAGTAAACATTAAACATAAAACGTAACTCAAAATATTATTAAATAAATTTCATGGAATTTTCCGTGAAATTCTGTAAAATACGAGATACGATATACAGCCGTATGATGTATCAAATGGGAGATCACAACATTGGGAATTAGGAGGAATATAATCGGACTTGAGAGCTCACGGTAGGGCTCATCAAGAGCACTTGCAAATGAGTATCGCAATGACGAGGCTGTGGGTAATCGTCCGTTAAATGATCGCGCCTACCACGCATGAAAGGGCCGTGATGGCGCGTGCGATAGTACGCGTAGTACGTACGCTCGAAAATACAGTCTCTCTCTCTCTCTCTCTCTCTCTCATCGATCTCTTTCTTCCATCCGTATCTTTTTTTCTTTATTTCGCTATCGTCTTTTCTTACGACGTACGACACACAATTTGTCGATCAATATCCCGAACAAACGAGAAACATGCTCGCGAGTCCTGCCGAGACGCCCGGGCATCTTCGGGCTATATCCTTCCGATATAACAACTAAAACTTTCCTGTCAGCCACGGCGTGTCGCCATGCGACGACACTGCGAGGCGCACGTTATTATTAGTGTCGCGCACGGTATGCGCGCGAACAGAGAGAACGGACTCTTCCCTCCTCGCGCCCCCCTTTTCTCATCCAATTCCGAGCGGAGTCTCCGCTCCGCTCTGCGGCACGTAACACCGCATCACACCGCGTCGAAACCTCTCTCGGACCGACTCTCTCTCGGATCTCGGCGCTACAATATGTGCGGCGCATTGTAATCTATGAGCCTGGCTAGCGCATACTGTCGCCGCCGGCGATGATGATATCAAATGCGGTGATTGACGCTCCGCTCTCCGCGTGCTCGCAATCTCCCGTTTCCCCATGGCCGAACCGGTCGGTCGCGCAACCATCATCGCCATCGGCCTCGCCATCGCCATTGCCATCGCCGTCGCCATCGCCATTGCGCCGCCATCGCGCATCGCACGCCTGCAGTCGCGCATCGTGCGCGCAATGACGTGGTGGAGAGGTTGGATTATCCAACGTATGTTTGCACGATTAAGTCCGAACGACCTTCCGGTCTCTCGTATGTTCGCGCCAACGTGAAACGAATCCTATATCTAAACGAATCCTATATCGAGAATTTGGCTGGCGCTGGCCGGATGACACGAGTGCGTTAAATGAAATATATCGATTGTACCGTTCGATGGCTGATCAAAAACGGCTGATCGTGGCCGTTCGCCCATATTCGCGTTGTTTGCCAACACGCTCCTGATTCTGGGTCAACCACCGGATCGATCGTCGGAGCTTTACGTTATTGTCCTTAAAAGGTGATTTGTCGTCTCGATGAGCATATACTCCAATATGCTCCGAGAGATAAGACACTCGGACATTCCTTTTTTAATCATCGTTGAGTACATAAAATGCGTACTTATCTTTTGTTTCTACAAAAAAGATAATATAATTAATATTTTTTATATAAAGGCAATTTCATGTCTCTTGTACAATAAAATCAACATGTGATGACAAATTTCTGTAAAATGATGATTTAATTGCGCAAAAAATCGTGCACATTCCTTTCACGGCAAATAAAAATCAATGAGACGTACAAAAGCACACAACAGGATCGCTGCACCGTTTTCGACAGGCCGCGAAGCTATACCACTGGTATGAAAATTTACAGACACGCCAGACTATTCGAGCGGGCTGCATATTTTTTTTTTTCCAACCAATCGGGTCATTGTCCGAGCGCAATAACACACCGAGGATATATCAGCGTGTCGATCTTTCATTCGTCCATTTACTAAGCGATAAAAACATATGAAACACGTTATGTACATGAAGAAAAGTTTACGGTTTATAATTTTTACTCTGTTCTTTTAACATTTCAGTTAAAAAAAGATTTTAATAAATGTATTAATTTTGTATAATGTTAATTTGTTAATTGCGACCATCGTTACTAACAAACGATTATATTTTTTTGGTCTAACGATGCCACTTTCGTCATTTTTCTCACTTTATCTCTTTTTATCCTCTTTAAAGGCATAAATTGGTCGAGAATACACAAACATTCCATTCGTAGGAGCAATTTTGGGAAACTCGTTACTTTCCGTCAGCTTATCCGATTTCTACGCTCCGAATCATAAAGATAGCTCTTAACGTTACGGGATACTATTATTGTCATTCACGCGTGTATACCAGCGAATGTAACTTGCTACGACGCCTCGAGGCATTTTTCGTTAACGGTGCTAAAGGCTCGTTTTATCATTCCCGACGTTTACCATTCTAATGCACGAGCGTACCGAATCGTTATTAGACGGAAGAGATAAAGATAATTCGGCCAGTCGCGCGATTGCAGGAATGGAGGACTCTGAACAGACAATGGCGGCTTTTATGCTCCATCTACACGATCGGAATCCTCCCTCTAGAATATCTTGCACTTTTCTGGCACTTGTCCGACCGTGCACTTTTTCTTAATTCATGATCGAGTCTTAAAATCTTTCGAAAAGGAAATTATTCTAAATTATTTAACTGTTATATTTAAATACAAAAAAATATACCATTGCAAAGTATTCGATTGTGTCGATAATTGACATGATATTTTTATATGTCATAAATTAGTATAATGGAATAATTGTTTGCAATACACAGTAGCAATTTTTCAATATTTCATACATTACTGTTATTTGTGGATTTATAAATCTGATAAATATAATCATATTTCAAATAAAATAAAATAAAATAAAATAAAATAAAATAAAATAAAGTAAAAAATAAATAAAAAGCATAATAAAATCACATTTTAAACCAAAAATAAAATGTAAAACAGCATTTGTTTCGTAACTTTGACGCGATATAGTGGATCAACTAACGAAGATACGATACTTGCTTTAATCTATCTATGCTTTATGCCATTTACTAAAAAGACTTTTTAACACTCTGAAGTTCTAAATTGCTCCGTCTATATAAGCTTATACTGCGTAATTACATGGATATCAAAGTGCTGCTGAAAGTACTAATAACTACCTACACTCAAACAAGACTAATTGACTTTGTGGGAGTTTATTCTCATCAAAGAGTTTAACAAATTCGTTATACCGATGTTAAAATTCACGAAAACAGATACGATAGACAGAAACGGATAGACAAAAGTATTTTATTAATAAAAAAGAACGAAGAAATTATATTTTTAATCGATGTCATCAAATATTCTTGAAAGCCTGAACGTTTTTACAATAGATTATTGAATTTTTGAGGCTTGACTGAAATCGGTTAAAAAATCGGTTTAGAACTTTCCGGGAATCACCGGGAGTCTATTTATTTTTTTCAAATTTAAAAAGCTCAATTTCATAGAGCTATTCAATTTTTAGTCAGCTTTAAATACGTAATGCATCCATTTACCAAACTAAAGATATTTAATATTAGCGATGTTTGCCATCGAACTAGCATTTTTATACAGTGTTTTAAAAAAATTAATATTTCATCGGAGAAATGCGAAACTAATTGTTCATACATCGCTATAGTTACAGAACTTGTATACATTCTCTGCCTCTCCGTCATAGATGAATGTGATATCGAAAAAAGCAAGAGAGACATTTATATTCATGACCAAACAAGCGCTGGTACTCCTTTCCTGCCATCAGCAATATTTACCACCAGTAAACATGACAGAAATCTTTCATTGAATTCCTTGCTTCCTCGGTGCGCGTTTTCATTCTTCTTTTCATCCCTCTCATCGTTCTTCTCTCGATACTCTTTCCACTCTTATTTTCATCTAACATCAAGCGACAATCTCGTTCGTACCTATACCCACAAGGATAAAGGAATCCCTCGCGACTGACGCGACATGGGAGACTCTGATGCAACCGCGAGAGAAAAGCGCTTTGAGCGACACACGATGAATCGCCGACGACGAAAATTCGCTGCATGGGTCGCAAAGGGAAAATTGCAATCACATGAGAACAAAGTGCTAGCGGCTTGAAATACTCCAATAATGGCGCCCTATACAATTAGATTGAACAATTAATCGGAAGGGAGTTTGAGAGAGAGAGAGAGAGAGAGAGATAGGGGGAGGGAGAAAGAGAGAATTTATCACAATAGAGAATGTATTTCAAAAACTGCGTTAAATATCTTCCTCGCCGTTGCTAATGTTAGATTTATATCAAATTCAAGGTAGCTCAAACTTTTTTTCATTTTATATCAAAATGGATGGTGTAATTTTCTACATTCACACGACGATAAAATACCGATAATTCGTACCGTTCACAAGTCGTTCGCAAGTGCACTG